TATTTGACTCAAGATCCAGAATGGCTATACAATGCATTATACAAACGTGGAATAAAAAAAATGAAAAGGAAAACATTTGACTGACAGTTATTGCTTAGTGAGGCAGGCAGTAAATTGTACCAAGTTTAATGAAAAAGACTTCATATTGAGACCTAAAGGCAATTTCTGGGGATAACAATGTGTACATATTACATCTTTGTGAAGGATGAACGAGGGAGACAATGCATGCTTTCTTTGCAATCTTATGTTCATTCTTTCATTATGATCATGAGACTGCTGTTCTTCCAATGGCAGTTTTCCTGATTTTAGACCAAGGACTAGCAGGAAATGGACAATTTCTTGAATGCTGAAATTGAAAACCCCAGAATACAGGGTCAAATGCTGGAGAGGCTTGGTGACCTTTTTTGACCTTGTGTTTTTCTGACTCAATAGAATATAATTTTGGTTTAGTAGGTGAACTGTTGTTTAATACTAAAGTCATATTTCCATTTGTAAAACAAGTAAACAGAATTTACATTCTTAAAAACATAACTAAAAGCATTTTTAATGCTCTCAGTTCTCAGAGCACTGAGAACACTTCATTCAGTTAAAAACCTTTACTATAAAAAAATATTTAGAATAAGGCAATATGTAAGTTTTTCTCCCTTCTTAAGACAAGATAGCCTGAATTAATAAAAATAAAGTCAAACCAAAAAAATTGAAATCAATAATTGAGATCTAAATTAAAATACGTATAGACTGCTGCTTATATGTAAAATACTTATAGATTTATAGACCCCATTTTCTTTAGAACAAAGCCGTATGTTTATATGTATATTCTATTATACGTGTATCATTTTAGAAAACCGGAAGAGGGGCATGGAGTTGACAACTGTCATCCAGAATGGCTAGATGATGCTTCAAATCCAGAGTATATTTCCCTTTTTTTTTTTCTTTACAAATATTCTGTGATTCAGGAGCTCCCAGGAAAAGAAAATGAAATATGAGGGGGAGAGAGCATTGGATCCTCAAGTTCTATAGAACAGAACAGGGCCAGTGTCTGGAAACTGTTGGAATGAGAGAAGCAAGGAAGGAGGTCCTGTAAAAGAGGATTTGTCTGCAGACCCACCTGGTTTCTAGGTTAGGCTCTTGAGAGGAAGAGGCCCACCTCGTTCGACTTATGTTTCCACTAAGTCGGCCCAGTAGCATGGACAAGAAAGGCTGGGGAGGATTAATGATGGGGAGGACGGTAGCATAGGCATCACACAGGTGACGTGAACAACTGGCCAGTGAAAAACAAGCCTGTTTTTTGGAGCTAGGCAGGCCTGGGTATGAACTCTAGCTCTGCTGCCCCCTTTCCTGGGTAGCCTGACACATATTATTTTACCTACTGAGACTATGAATTCTCAGTGGTAAAGGGGGGCTGCTTACTGTGGGGATTGACTGAAACCTGTCTTTCCCTCCTGAGTTCTGAACAGACTATGAGAGAAATGGTAATTTAACTATCAGTTTAATTACTGACAAAGGCAGCTGGATTCATGGCTTAACTCCAAGGTTGTACTCATAACCTTGTCTAAATCGGTGGACATGTGAGGAGTGGGAATATAACTGCCCTCTACACGTACCCACTGGGGCTGTAGGAAGGAATGATTGCATCTAGGTAGGCAATTGGTTAATCTTAGTTTTCACTCCTCTCAGAGGATTTTGAATATTTTGTAAATCAACCAGAATGAGCATAGACACCTGATCATGCAGGACAATCAGAACCAATATAAAAGAACCTTCCAGGATGTGCTTGCTATGGCCTCATGGGCTGTTCTGACCCCCAACTAACAACTCTGTGGGGCCAGCGAGGAAAGGACTGTCTTAATGCTGGGTAGAGAATTGTTCCCAGCAAATGTTTAGGAAGACCACCCGGGGAAAAAAAATGGGTTCCTAGCAATAATGCCAGCCTGAACCTTTCCTGAGTGACATTTTTAGTAGTTTAATCCACTAGATTAGATTTCTTTAGGTAAACTCCAAGAAGTTCAGAGAAAAATGGCGCCATCTAAAAGAGGCTGTAACGTATCATGTGAGAGTCAGGAAGACACAAGACACTTACTTTAACTGCTTGTAAGAGTTTATAAGATTCCTGCAACCTTTGTACCTCCACCCCTCTTTGCTATTTTTATTACTATCTGTCTGTTTTCCTATAATGATTAGCCAGAAAGCTCTTAAAATGGAAAGGACTTGTGTGCATATTTTCAGAGGCAACAAAGGAAACAGCAGTGAGGTGACTGTTCCTGCCAAGTGGGTGAGGAGCCCCAGGAGGGGAGAGTGACTTGTCACGTCCTGCAGGCTACATCTCAGGAGTCTGTGGAAGGAGAAGAAAATGATAGTGGTGGGGTGGAGATGGGAGTGTGGAATGTAGGGAGTGAATCCAAGCAGAGAAATTAACCTAGGTTCTTAATAAGCAAGACACCCATGTACAGGTTTCCTGAATGTGGCTAGACTAAATTTAGTGCTTGTAACAGCCCCCAATTTCTTTTAATGTTTCCTAACTTCAAAATAAAACCATCAGTTCCTTTTAAGCAAGAGCTATCTTAACATTACAGATATTTTATTTTGGATAAGATTCTTGGATCAAGTGAATGGAATAATGTGGAAATTAATTCATAGATCTTAGATATCAGAAAGTGAGTAGGATTTGTGAGTTGTTCGGCAATATTCCAGGATACATTAGTTTTTCCTAGATCGTTTATTTGGCTGCCAGTATTTCATCTGTCGAAGGGCAATTAAGAATGGGAAGATATTCTGCACCCCCTTCCCCAATCCAGTAAAACTTGTGGGATGAACATTTTACCCAAATATAGACTTTTTAGTGATTAAGCTAATTTACTCTTTTCAAACTGCGGCATCCTGTTTATAAGAAAGAAAACTTATAAAAAGCAATCTAAGAATGAACTAACTTCTAAAATCAACATCTTGGTGACCTTACGTGTTAAGTGACTCGCAAGTATTTGGAAGAAGACTTTCTGGTTTTGAAAGAGAAAGTACTCGGAAAAAAATGTCATTTTGGATCCACTGAAATGGAAACATTTGAAAAATGAAATTCACCAGTGAGCCTATCATATACCAAGTTTCCACACATACTTCTTAAGTCACTTCTGTGAAGTTGTAGAGCAGCTTCTCCCACTGGCCAAGTCTTAATCCTCACAAGATGCATTTGGGTCCCATAATCCTTCCCAGAAATGTTATTTTCAAACATTCTGCACAAAGTGAATTTTTTACAGTATTTTGAAGGTAATATTATTTACTCTGTAAGCTGCACACTTAAAAATTATTATGTGTCCCAAAAGAAAACAGAACTTGTGTCTATTAATATTATTTTCCTACTAGAAATATGTTCTCTTTTTACTCTCACCCTGTAATATTTGAAAAGGTCATGGTGAGCAACCAGAAGTCTACCTTACGGAGAGTTAGAACCGAGGGCATCTGTGACCCCGGTGTAAGCAGTCCCTACTCTGTCCTGTGGAACCTGAAATCCTTACCTCCCGCTCTCTCTGTTAAGCGTTGGATCTGGGTTTCAGGATCTTGCTGGGTAGCTCCACCGGGAACCTCAAACACTGCAAACCTACCATGGCGCAGTTTGAATTACTTTGCTTTTTTATAGTTACTCTTCTTCCCCCTGGGTTCCGGCTCCCCTGCCGCACCATCTCTCAAGTCAGGGACTCTGGTCATCCCACAGCCCTGCCTGTCACCTACCACACCAACTAACTGATGATTCTGCCTCTGTGATGCACCTTCTTTCCATTCCAGCCTTAACTCAAGCACAATAAACTCTTGTCTAGTTCAGAACAAAAGTTTCTCATCCTGTCAATCCTTCCTTCTCTGCTGCTAGATTTTTCCAAGCATATAATCAAACATGAATATAGTTGCATTAGGAACAAGTCTTTACGACTGGACACAGCTCACTTTTTCTAGATTCCTCTCTTCTTCCCCTCTGTTCCCTGGCCCCTAACTATATGGAGCTTCAGTCACTATAAAAAGTTCTTTGATTGTGCCATATATTTTCACACTGAACTTCTCTTTGTTGTGACCCTCTTTACTTAGGACTCACCTTTACTTTTCTCGCCTTCCCCCTTCCAGAAGTAAAAATCCTTTCTTCTATGTCCTGTCATAGCACTTTTTTATTCTTTTTTGCTATCACTCAGTGTACCCATTATGGTTAATTGCCTATGTGAAGCTTTTTCAGGGTAAATGATGCATTTCTCAAGAGAGAGACTTGTTTCCCTCTGTGAAAAAAAAGTAACTATTTCAGTGGGAATTAAAAAGTGCCCGTTAATATGTGCTGAAGTAGGGATTGTTGAAATGTGTTTAAATTCTCAAGGGGCAGTTACTGTATCAAATGGAGAAGGAATAAAGAGTAGAGTTAAGCAAAAGTGCTCCTTTAGCAATTTTTTTCTTGAGAGCTAAAGATTGAAATGTACGACACATGGGAATTCCTCTGTAAAGTCAGAGGATAATGAATGGCGGTATCACCTGAAAATTACTCTTTGTTCAAATTAGACCCATCAAGGCATTGTCTCTGGTATTTTTTATCAATCCATTGTATCGATGATTTAAAAATAAGCATCACTTCCTGTCGAGGTTGACTTTGAATTGGTTGATTATAAGGTAAATACATGAAGCTAACATCATCTCTGTCTTCCACTTACATCAGAGGTGGAAAGAGAAACTAGCACATGTGGAATAATTAAGTGCTAGACTAGGTGAGACAGATTATAATAAAGAAAAAATAAACATGGAAAAAAGGAAAAGCCATTATAACCTGGAAAAATAATGGAAGGTCTCCTTAAGTGGAACATATTAAACGGGTTCTTGAAAAATAGGTAAGGATTACATGAGCGAAGGCAAGGACGTCTACATAGATCATTGGCAGGAAGATTTCTAGATTTTGCAAGATAATTTTGGCAAATATCTGTACTGTTTACTTTCATGAGTATGAAGTTATTTTGTCCCACTTTGTCTTTCTCTCCCAGGTGGATCAGATATTGAGTATCTAGACTTCTATAAGCCTGTTGTGTGGTTTTGGATCCTTGTAGGGCTTGCTTACTTCGCTGCTGTCCTAAGCATGATTGGAGACTGGCTCCGAGTGATATCGAAAAAGACCAAGGAAGAGGTGAGAATGAAGTGTGTAAAAACAATTCTATTTAGCTAATTCAGTAAAAGTGAGTTTTCATCTTTTTTTTTTCTTACGTTTACTTTTAAAATATTTAAATGTTATTTAAAATGGTTAACATTTATCTTTAGTGGGAATTTGCCGTTTGAGGCTATCATATGAGTTATAATAATTCACTTAAGAAATACTTACTAATCACCTCTATGTGTCAGATGCTGTCTAGGTGCTGAGGCTAGTTTATAATGAAATGATGTAATCAAAAGTATTTTTTTATTGTTTCTTTTCCTTTTTCTCTTCTATTTTTCCTCAAATTGTATTAAGTAAATCTTATTCTGTAAAGAAAAATGCAATAGAAAATATTTGTGTCACAATATCAGTAGCATGAAAAAGTGAATATATAATGTTGGATTGTTTCTACTCTACTGAATTATTTCCCTTTTCCTTATGTCTCTACAAATGTGTGTGAGTGCACATGTGCACACACATACATGTTCCAAAGCTGTATATATTATAGCCAGTTTCCCTGTGTACAGATATCAGCTGTTCAAAAAGATACCCTTTTACCTATTTTATGCAACTATAGATATCAAAATGAACATTAGAATTTTAACCCATGAAATTCTGAAAAATTTGAAATTTAAATCTTGATTTAAAAATTTTATAGATTGGAGGTTAAATTTTGATTTCATATTTACAGGTCCAGAATTACAGTTAGTTTGAGTGTGACCCAATAGTGTTTTATGATGACTTCTGTATTTTTTGATTTTAGGTCTTAGCCAGCTTTACTAATGTTTTCAGAGAACAATAAACCTGTAAAACCTGCAACTATAGTACCCATTGTCTGCCTTTAATTAATTATCCCTCCATTTTCCTTATGTTCATTGGTCAAGAAACTCATGTCAAGATCATTGATTGATTAAAAAAGAAACATAGTTCTTTCAACATATAACCAAAAGAAATAGAATAAGGTAGGAAATGATAAAATTAATTTATCTCTCCACATATTTTCTTTGAAACTCTTCAAGTTATATAACTCCTCATTAACACCCAAGGTGCCTGTGGTAATTAGAGTATGAGTTGTCCAGCATTTCCCTTCATTCATACCATGTTTCTCAATTGAGAGTTCACACATCCTATCTGTATGCATTAATCATATCTTAGTTGTACCATAAAACCAAAATACATTATTATAAATGAGTCAGTAAGACAATATGCTTGACATTCTTGTTTAAATCATACGAAAAATTCTTCTTTGAGCACTGATTGATTTGCCTTAAACAGACTCATTGTGTGTTTGTTTGTGTGTGTGTGTGTGAGAGAGAGAGAGAGAGAGAAAGGAACTGAGAATATATTGTGCTTATTTTAATTTCAGTGTACTATCTTGAGATGATAAGGGAAAAAAGGAAATTGTAACCAGGAAATATTTTGGATAATGTAGCTAAAAAGAGAATTTCTCAAATGTCGAGCCATAAATTGGCTTTCAAATGCATTTTAAAGACACACAAGTATTTATTTATTTTTACTATATTCTCTATGCTCTACTTTTCATTCTCATGACTTAATTTATTTTATAATTGTTAATCTGTATCTCTTTATTTACTTCATCTATTTCACCCTTCCCATTATCTCCCTCCCCTAAGGCAACCAGCTGTTTGTTCTCTGTGTTTATGAGTCCATTTCTGTTTTATTTATATGCTTTACTTTTTAGATTCCACATATAAGTGAAATCATAAGTGTCCCTGCTCTGACTTATTTTGCATAGCATAATGCCCTCTAGGTCCATCATGTCAAATGTCAAGTTTCCCTTCTTTTTTATGGCTGAGAAATACTCCACTGTATTTAGGTACCACATCTTCTTTATCCATTCATCTATTGACAGACACTTAGGTTGCTTCCATATCTTAGCTATCATAAATAATGCTGAAAATTACATACAGGTGCATGTATCTTTTGAATTAGTGATTTTTGTTTTCTTCGGGTAAATTCCTGGAAGGGAATTACTGTATTGTATGGAATTTCTATTTTTAATTTCTTGAGGATCTTCCATATTGTTTTCCATAGTGACTGCACCATTTTCCATTCCCACCAACAGTGCACAAGGCTTCCCTTTTCTCCACATCCTCTCTAACCTTATTTCTTGTCTTTTTGATACTAGCTATTCTGACACATGAGACGATATCTCACTGTGGTTTTGATTTACATTTCCCCGATAATTTGTGATGTTGAGCGTCTCTTCACTGTCTCTGTTGTCCATCTGATGTCTTCTTTGGAAAATTGTCCATTCAAGTCCTCCGCCTGTTTTTTAATTGGATTATTTGTGGTTTTGGTGTTGAGTTGTAGGAATTCTTTATATACGTTGGCTATCAATCCCTTATTGGATATATGACTTGCAAATATATTCTCCCATTCAGTAGGATGTCTTTTCATTTTGATGATGGTTTCCTTTGCTGCACAAGCATTTGTTTTTTAAATAAAATACAATTGAAACAGAACATGTCATCTATAGTTAGAAAAACTGTTGTTTTATAAAATATATATACATATATATACACACACAAACATACACATATGTATGTTATAAACATGTTATATATTATATACATACATGCATATATACATACTAATATTGCAGATCACAGTCAAAAGTCTGAAGGCCATGAAGGCATATACAGAAAAATGGGAAAATTTGTCCTTAATGCACTGATATAGAATTAATATCTTAATTGGTATAGATTAATATTTTAAAATCCATATTAAAAACCAGTGCTTTTTCTAATAGGACTAGCTGTGCAAAGCATTAATACACTGTTCCAGAGTCACGAGATAAGCATCTATATTAGTGTGCTCAGGCTGTCAGAACAACTTAGAACAGGCTGGGACCTTCATCAACAAAATTACTTTTTCCTCACAATTCAGAAGGCCGGAAGTCCAAGACTAAGGTGCCAGCCAGGCTGGTTTCTGGTGAGATCTTTCTCCTTAGCTTGCAGATGGTACCTTCTCACTGTGCGCATGTGTGGAACGAGAGAGCTCTTCTAAGAGCACCAGTCCTGTGGATTAGGGCTCCTCTCTCATGACCCGATTGACACTTTATTACCTCCTAGAAGGCTCTGCTTCCACACATAGTCACACTGGGGGGTTCAGGCTTCAACATATGAATTTTTGGAGAATACAATTCAGCTTGTACCACTGTCTTTTGAAATAAATTTAAATTGCTACATTTACCAGCTTATATAGCATGAAAAACAAATCTATTTGCCTTCTTATAAGTGATCTTCATGATTCTCAACTAAAAACATGAAATGCACCATTGTGTTTTCATGCTATTTAACACTGAGAAGTAATAAACTATTCTTACCAGAAGTTTCATAGATTCTACCTAACCTTTTGAGTAACATGTAATTCCTGCATCAGTGAAAAGCTCCCGTGAGTCAAGGCCCTGAGCAGAGGTGTACGTGAACCCTCTGGAGCTGAAGCTGCAGCCACTCCAGATGGTTGAGCCTGTTGACATGGAACTGTCATTTTGAGCAGATGCATGTTTTCGAACTTAGTTATAATCCAATTTAGGAAAATGGCAAAATTGGGTCACAAAATCAAAAGAGAATGTGAAGAAAAGGAAAGACAATTTATAACTTACCTATAGATTGTCAGGGCCAGAATTTTTATACATGCAATACTACAAAATTGTCTGCAGCAATGGCAAAAAGATTATTAGATAATTTTTGTTTTGAAATAGCTCACAAAAGGGCATAATTAAATAAGAACCTGCTAAATTCATTCTAGTTGTCATTGTTACAGAGATGAATGATGCCGGGTAACTTCACTAGGTAGCCCTTACCTTCTTTACCTAAACCATTCCTGATGGTCCAACCTTTAAAAATGTCCTAAAAGTTCAGAAGCAACAGGTTATTTCTAGTTTTCAATTTTGATGAAGAAAAATGTGAAATATTTCAATAAGTTGAAATCCTCTCTATTAAAAAATATAACTGGTACAAAATGTAAAAAATACCCAATAATATGTAGCATTAGATTTTCCTGTGAATACCAAAACACACGCTTTACCTGAATGAAGGATTTTACCTAAGAATAAGCCTCAGTCATATGTTATTTTTTTAAAAACAGCTATTCTTAAGCCATATCAGTTAAGAATAAACATATAAATCTAATCATATATGGGCTTATTTTTGTTTTTTTATGTTAAATATATTTTGTTTCCAATGAATGCTCATTTTAATGAAAATATTGCATTTAGAAGTAAGGAAAAATAGTTTTTGATGCATATGCTGAAATAAAACATGTTAGTATAACAAATCCATTTGAAATATTTGAAGAGGAAATGGTTAGTTGAAACAACACTGCATTGTTTCAGAAATGTCATGTATAATTATAGTTGATCTGCATTTCTCAAGGAAAATTATTATGACCTCAAAATTTTTCCATGGAGACATACAAATTTCTGGTAGTGTTTATTTGTTTCATTATTTTTTAAGCTGTAATGGAGAGCAGGTCATGTTCAACTGTAAGAATTGGTAGACTGATGGTCTTTTTCTATGAAACCATGTACCCTCTTCTGAGGAAATGTTGCCATTTAGAAAAAAAGATTATTTAGGTATTCTGGATAATACAATAATACTGATATCTGAGGCAGGTATAATAAAAGATGTGATCACAAAAGCCAGAAGCTTAATTCCTAAGCAAGCAGGAAATAGTGCCTTATTATACATAGATGTAGTTTGCTGCTACATATATTCTTAGAAAGGGCTGTGATTTATATATAGCTCTTGTATAGAGGTCCATGTGCCACAGTATCTGGAATGTTCCTGTCCTTATGTGAGACAAACACCACCACAACCCCTTCCAGAGCATGCCAGTGTTGTCAGACCATGTGGCACTACAGCTGGCCACAGTGAGTGGACAGCCAAGCATTTTTTATCAGTGTCCCTTGTTTAGTCCTTGAAGCTGTTCAGGCAAATGGAGACACTCCCTTTAGTAAATCGCCTTAC